ATTATTTGATGTTGATCTAGTGCTGCTAGGTCACTTCGCTTAAAGACATTTCGCCTAATGAATATGGAGTGTATGAAATGGCTAGACTGAACAGTAAACCGCTGACGGTGCCCAAGATTATTATCCGTTTACATTAAAACAATTTCCGAGTACATGAATTTTACTTACTTACAAGCAGGAACAGGAAGTAACCTGCATCAGGAGTAGGAGACGTGGATTTATCTATCGTAAGTAAATTATCCTTGGGAGAGATACATGACGCTTTCATTATTGCTCATTGTTAGTGTATTGTTCATCATTTCGTTTTACAAATAATTAGTAATTGCTCATAACGAATAACAAAATTTCAGGGAGTTCTGAATGGATTTTTGTTTTCTGGTCGTGCACTTCACGGACTGCCGCCATCGGCCTCACTTTTCCCCTTTGCTATCGGCATTGGTTCACAGAGCGGATCTACATTCATTGGAAAGCACGTTATTAATTGTGTTTGACCGTTATTCACTCATCCTTCAAACCCATCCCGTCTTGCCACTGTTGCTTCTTATACTGATTGTGAGTATTATTGTTTTCGAATTTCAGCGATCGTGCCAAACTGTTGGGCGTTACTATTGGTGGTGCATTTGCAGCGGAAATGGCGATTGGTATGGCAACGGGAATCTCAGCTGGATTCCTTGTACTTATCTTACTTTATACGATTGTCGGCTTCGCAACCCTTCAAGTATACCTGAAGAAGGGTAATGCTGACACACTGACAAACGTTTACCAACTATCCTATTTGATTGGTGTGGTTTTCTCGCAAGGATTAGTGTATGCGCTATTCAGTGTGGATGCATCTGATGCAGAGTAATTACGATANATTGGTGTGGTTTTCTCGCAAGGATTAGTGTATGCGCTATTCAGTGTGGATGCATCTGATGCAGAGTAATTACGATACAACTCGTGATGAGTGTAATGGTGCTTATACTAACTTTATAAGTTATATGATCTACTCTCGATGGAAACTGTACATTCGGTTGTGTGATTAATAAATGAAATCGCGCAGTATCTCGCTACTCTGTGATTTGTATAAATGATCAACCCAAGCGTTTGTGCTTTACATGCTGACATTATTGTTCGCATTGTCGTCTTTGAAGTTTACCCAAAAGTTATTGGTCAGTGATGTGATCTTGATTCATGTGGATGAATGCTAGGTCGCAATTCTCTATCGTCTTCTCTAATAATCCTTTGAAAGTCACTGGTTGGTGATGGTATCCGAACGAAATTTCGGTTCGGTCGGAACCTGGTCGATTCACTAAAACCTGACCCCAAAACTCTTTGCTCGGGATTCGACTGAATTTACGCTGAGTTTGCGAAATACGGCATCCCGACCGGACGTCGGAATCCCTCGGTCGTGTTCCGACTGAATTCACATTTTGAGAATCGAAGATCCGGATTCCGGCGGAACTTCGATCGGGTACCATCAGTAGCGTTGACGACATTAAGTGAAATGGAAGCTGATCGCTTGAAGCACTTTGCATTTCGAAGAGCTAACTTGATTGAACCAAAACTCGTATCCCAAACCGTCTCAACCCGAAAAAGTGTTTTTTTATTTATTTTAAGCAACGTTTCGAAAGTTTTCCAATGAAAGTTTTTCGGTAAATCTTGCCTCCTCTCACTTGTAATGTTCCCTTTCATTCGCGCATTATAAATTCCTCGTGACTGACTTCCTCTGCCTCTATGCCCTCTTCGCAACTTCCTCCCACTCGATGTTATCGAGAAGTGTGATCAGTGATATCTGGGAATGTTGTCAACATCTTTAAGTTATTTCCATTTCCACAGGGTTTGTCAAATTCAATCTTTGCTGCTCAATGTTTTAAACATAAGAATTATTGATTCTATTGAGCCATCACGGTTGCACCAAGCAGGTGCACTCGTTCAATGCGCGTGAATGAGCGAGAGCATCGTGACTATTTGTCTCGTATTTGATCTGTTCGAGGACGGCCAACGACTGCGGCTAATCTTAAGTGATGTGATTGATTTGGAGGTGTTCAGTCATGATCACGTTCTTCCTGTGTTTCAGTGTGATTATGTTCTTTCAGTGTTCTTGATTGTGGACAGATGCTTAAACGCAATAGGAACGTATCAATGTGGAGTAAACTAAACTTTCTCTCAATTCATTGCAATTATTCCAGATTCAACCAGCGATAATGTCGCAACTAACTTCACGTATTGCACTCACAGCACGGTCAGTCCTAATTCGTTCACAACGTTCCTCATCTGGTGGTTTCTACAATGCGAATAACTTCGATCAGTTCGGCAAAGGTCTCACTAATCAACTGAAAACCGCAGAAGGTATTTATTTATTTGCACTGAACAATTTATTCCATTTTATATTCATCTTCAGTTTGTGCCATGATGAGTTCTTCAAAACCTCACTGTTTAGTCGCAAAGAAGTGATGACTGTTATGAAAGGAAATGAGGTAGCTTGTACTGTGAATCGGTAACTCAAATTTACGTATTTTAAGGAACAAAAGAAACATGGAAGAAGATCTTTTTCTGGTGCTCGATTCCGTGTCTCGCACTGACCATGTACGCTGCATACGCAGATCACCAGAAACATCAATCCAAACCTCGTCCCGAATATATAGAATATTCGTATATGAACGTCCGGAATAAGGTACGAACTCATTTTTTTTTTGTAATCTTTGTCGTTACGCTCTTAGGAACTCTCCACATAACTAGCTTCAAAGAGTCTTTCCGATCAAAAAAGTTGCCGAAATATTAGGCCAGTTGCAATATCATTGTAATTGCTAGTTAACTGAACCGAATGCTCATTACAAATCACATTGTTATTCTTAATTGTCTGTATTAGTTTATTATTTCAGCCGTTTCCGTGGGGTGACGGTAATCATTCATTATTCCATAACAAGAAAGAACAATACACACCTGGTGTTGGCTACGAAGAGGAACACGAGAAGCACTAAACGATTGATTGATCGATCTTACAATAAACTCTAAATTGTGAGTTTACTTTTNTGGCAGTTTTCACGTTTCTTTCGCTAATATTACAGTTGTGAACATCTTGCTTATCTACCTTGTATATCGAATGTCAAAACGGCACACGCGACCACCAAACAACTAACGATTTATTATTTTCAGTTTTTCAACTTGCTATTGCTGCTTCATATGATGATACAAACAGTATGTGCCTAGATTATGCTACCTCGATATTTTTCAACTGGTGTTTATTTTTTCGAATTGTTTCTTCTTTTTGATGCTGTAGTATTATAAATACATATACATATGATTGTAATTTTTATTTATTGAATAAGTCGAGGTATGCTTTTGTTTAGTGTCGAACGATTTTCTGAAATGTTCATTGGTGAATAAACGATAATTTCATTATTGGTGGATGAATATCCATTTTTTTTTGTCATATAAACATGCTTCTTTTCAGCGAAGAACGAAATAATTGTAGTTTTTATTTCGAAACTGGTGTGTGATTGTGTGTGTGTGGGTGATTAGAACTGATCATTTTGTTGCTGAGTCATTAATTAAAGAGCACTTCTCAGTCATCGTTGACAGGAAGTATTGTGCAAATGATGGTTTAGGAGTGCTCTTGTTGAGGCTTTAAACGAGTCACTTTGAAGTAAATTATTAAATGTGGTGTTGGAGGTGAACTACAAGTCGTTCGAAGTGAAATTTGCATTTTTATATCAAGTTCCTATGCGGAATGCGAGAGGAGTTGCTGCAAAACACTACAAAGTTTATTTGTGTTGCCAACTTTTCAGAAGAATCTGAAGGATAGGCAATTGTTCAGTGAGCGTTACACAATCAAGCCAACTTTCTGCTTTTAATTTCATATATTCTAAATGATAACTTTTAGCCTTGTATATTATCATTGTTACTTACACATCGAGCGGTTGTTTTGTTGATCGCGGTTAGCGATCGGCGGAATGCTTATTTTGTAGACTTATGAATATTTATTGGATTGATATTTGGCTACGTTTAATTGTGCAAAGTATTCACGGCAACTAATTAAATACTCGGTTGTACTCACTTGGCCTGCTCGCCTAGCCAGCGGGGTGGCTACAATCAAGGCTAAAACAGTGCGAACGGAAACGCGAGCATTGTGGCCAGCAACGTTACAAACGTTTGATAGCCTGGCCAATCCAGGTAATCCAGGTAATATTCTAAATATTTTTCATGCTCAGGAATCCTTACGGAATGGCATGAGTCTTTTGCGTTCTTTGGTTTGCCACTACCCGGGTAATAGAGAGGGAAGTGAGAAGTGAAATAGGGAGGCTGGAAAACAGAAATGATCGAAGAGATGAATTCGTCGCTACTTTCCTTGCAGTCGAGTGATAGTGTTTGTTATGTGGTGTTGATGCGAAAGAGAAAAAGTGATCACATGTTCGTACTTTGAGTTAAACGTCACATAATTGTGCTTCTCTCACAGAAATATCATTCTAAGTTCGTTAACACTTCGTGAATAACAAACGATAATTCTTCTTCAAACGATGTTTCATTTCGTTTCGCAACGGATCGAACTTCAAAACTTAAGATGTTCACTGTTATTTGGCAATGAACTGTAAACAACAGAAGATCATTCGGAGCTTATATAAAATAGAACAATAGTTTATAAGTATATGTGGATGAGAGGGGTTTCCAAACAACATCCATAGAGGCTCAGGCTTTCCTTCATTCATTTTGCAGTGCATCTACGATCGCTTCGTGGTTTGCAAAAAAATCGTACACAAACTTGCAAGTTGTTTTCCTGTTTCATGCAAGTGCCTTTGTTTAGGTGATACGGTAGGACAGAGAAATCCTAAACATCTGTCTAGGAATGATAAGTCATAGCGAACTTTCATTATTGGACGTCTCATCTGATCAGATCCATTTTGATTCATACTTCAGAACTGGCAGTTCTTTGCCTTGAATTGTGCACTGTGTGTTGCTATGTGTATCAAGGGTCTAGTACGAGCGGATCACCGTCAATCAAGTCACGCACCCAACCCTCCATCCACCCTTCCAGAATCGAATTTATTGCCTTTCCTAAATACAAAGTGAAAGGGCAATGCAAACAAAAAACACGACTCCGATGTGTAGTAGCACAGTATGAGAAGAGGAAAAATAGAGCATTTCATAATGGTATGAAGAGGCAAAAAAAATCACAGTGAAAAATCGAGCGGACACCGAAGCATCAATCACATTCAATCCCTACAGGCCTTTATCTTGATGGAGATCGTTAGAACTAATCGCATAGAAACGTTCTCAAGAAAGGATTTGAATTCACTTACTCGTCGAAACAATAAGATGGTATGTAATGTTAATGGATATCACTGTGTCATTGTTATCAGTTTTGTCGAATATGATTTTCGTTTTGATCTCCCAAGAATTTTTTTTTTGGAATTCTTCACCGCATGTCATAAGTTCAATGGCCGTAAGTCGGTGACACAAAAATTGGTGTACACAAAAATCAAAAATCAACAGTGAAATGGAACACCTTTCAATGGGTTCGTTTGAAGGTTGTGAAAAATCAACATTATACATACTGCGAGAGACGGACCGGTTCGAAAACCATTCTTTCTCGTTCATATTGTCCAAAATCCGTCTGATTATTCCTGTTCCCTTCCCGTCACTCCATGATCGATCCCACCCCTACACGAGACAATCAGCATACACTATTCCATCGTGTTCTCGTCTAGTTTTTAGTTTTCTCATTACATTTTCGCTGCACCGCTTCCCGCCGATGCTTAACGCGGATGGATGCGAATGAATGAAGAATAATAAGGTCTTCTGCTCAACTCGAATGAATCAGCGGTAATGGCAAAGCACGATGTGCTGCTTATTGTGGCTAATAATAAACGGTCTTAATGGCCTATCGCTTCACAAACAAAAAAAGAAAATCATCGCATATACGAAGCGCAACAAGCAAAGAAGCCAAACAAAATAGACATTTCAACACTCGATGACATGAATCCCACTGAAAATGTGTGTAAAATATTCATTTATTTGCGTGTGTGCATGCATCTGCATATATCTATTCATATGTATGTGTATAGATGTACACTTTCATGTATTCATATGTTATAATATTTTATAGTACATGATAGAATTTAGCATATCAAGAGAAATTTTGCTTATAAATTTTAAAAAATTTGCTTATAAAAAGCATAATTTTGCGTGCGTTCACATTTGGTGATATTTTAGTGACGATTTTGAACTGATCAACTAACGTCTTACGGCAATTTAACTGAATAAAACGCTTAACAAAAACAGATTATCAATATGCAGTAAGGCAGATGCATATCGGAAAGAACTTGCCGAAGTACTCGAAAGCTGCCGGAAACCGGAAAACAATTCACGGAAGCCTTGTAAATATAACTAGGCATTGCATGTGATTGCAAAATCCCGAGACATGGCGCAAACAATCCTCTAGGTACCGATCTGCAAAGCGCCTAGTAGAAAACCGACACCACTACCACCACACCAGTGATGCATGTTACTCAGCATTGAAAATTTCTTTTACATAAAGATGAAGTTAGAAAAAAGTGACACCTTTTCCCCTTTTCGTTTTTCCAAATTTTCATAAGCGATAAAAACGCTTACTTCTCGTAAATGAATGAAAATTTTAAGAAAATTTATTACCCAACCTAGTGCCCACTTCACCAACCAATCCTCCCACTCAAAACCGCCCTTAATGCATTACCCTTCTCCTGAAATCCCCAGACTTCACCTCATCTGAAGCCAGATCTCACTCTTTTACTCGCCAGATTGATTGTGTCCAGATGAGTTCATTTCCACCGTTTCACGACAGTTCTGTGGAGTGTCATCAACGGGAAAGGATTCTTCACAACTAACACCCTCCCCGACAATACCAACAGAGTAGTTCATGAGTAGCAGTTTGAAATGAACCCGAGAAAATTGACCGGATACAACGGTCATCTAGGCCGAATCTCCCTTAGGACATGCGATCTTCGCTCATCTCTCTCATTGCTAGCGATTTCATCTGACCATGCTTGGCGATACTCTATCGCATACGTANGGCGATACTCTATCGCATACGTAATGTCATTTGCATATTTCCCTCATCTCTCCCTATTCTTAATTTACAAGTTCGTTCTCTCTTCTCATCTGATAGATTGATGACTTTTTCAAAATTATTCTACTGAATTTTTTTTTGTTTATTATAATATGTTATTCGATTGTGTTTGAGATATTTTAGTTATTATTTCAATCATTAGTTGAATGCCTTTATAAGCTGACCAACATTTTTTTGAAGGTTTGCTTACAGTTAACTGCCATTTAGATTTTTTGGGAGTTTGATCTGCACAAAATTAATACAACGCATTTTAATACATAAAACAAGAGCTGAATAAATAATAATATCACTCAGCTGTTGTTTTTATTAGAAGCTGAACATGAAGAGTAACAAATCAAACATGATCACATGAATAGTTAGTAGTGTTTGTCGAGAAACTGGATCACTTCGTCCCATGCAATTATTCTCTTCGACTTTTTTGTCGGGTTCCTCCACTTCTGTTGAATTTGATGCTTCTCGACGAGTTACCCTCCAGAATGTTGCTACTCGACAAACACTAACACTTACAATAATTACAGTTGTATTAGAACAATAATTATCAGTATTGAAATGGTTACCTTTACAAGACATTGATAAGGTAGATGTCAATATGCAATACTAGAACGTAGTGATGAGAAACATGGGAGAATTATTTTTTGAAAAACAAAATGCTTTAATTTTTTTATTTTTTCACTTTTTATTTTTTGTTTTTTTTAAAATTTATTTTTTGTTTTTTACATTTTTGTTTCTTTATTTTTCTTTTATTTTTTAATTTAATTTTTTCCTTTTTTTTCAGGCATTCTTTTTGTGGCATTAAATTTTTTAAATGAGATTGATCCATTCTGTAGATCGTTGTTGGATTCGTTACGTTCA